AACAAAGTTTGCTATTGGACGTCCGATGAAATGCAGAAAAGATTCCCCATAGGCAACCTTAGGGCTTTGTAACATTTGCTCTCAGTCATAAGAATTGATAGTGAAAACGCAGTCCGTGAGGAACTCAAGCACGGAGCGTGTCATAACACACCATTTGGCTGTTTGAAAAACATCAGATACATAAGTCAGTGTCCGAAAGGAACTGAGTAAAACATGCAGTATTTGGACGAGAAATCTGCAGGTAGCTCTGTGGCTCCGGCACTAATTTGACCACTAACAGCTCAATTTATTCATAACTCTTTAAAAGTTAACACTTAAAGTCAATTAGAAGCAGATTTCAAGGCCTTAGATGAGATCATTTGTTAATGTGTGCATCTGTCTTGTTTTCCAGTAAATTAATCCACTGTTATTTAATAAGATTTCAGATTTAGTATTTATTTTCGCTTGTTTTCTTTTTCAAAACATTTCTTTGAAACAATATATGCATAGTTTCAAAAGTGCAATATTAGGTAGAGAAAATTAATTTAAAATCTCATGTGGCATTTTTGTCCAGTAATTATGAATACATGTTTGAGAAGGAAGAACCACTGGCTCCTTTATGCAGTGTAAAATTCACTATGCTTTATTCACAGTGTGCCATAGTACTATAGGCAAAATTACATGCTGGGCTGTGGCTATACGGAGGAAAAAAGTGACACTTGTTTTATTTTTTATAGTACTGGGGGGAAAACAGTGCCAGAAAATTAATACATAAGAAAAGCTAAACTGGAACAAATAATTGTGAGAGATCCATGGAAAGATTTCGATGGGGGAACCAGAGGAACAACCAAAATTTTTTAGAAGGTGACCTGAAATACTAAGTACTAAAAGGACTGGGATGGGGGTGGAATTGATTTTGCTTTTGAAAGTCTGTAGTGGATATTTTTTAACTGCTTCCAGAATGAATCCGGGGTGGGTAAGAATTCCAGGAGGGGTAAGCAATGGCTTCTGCTATACCAGACCTTCATAACAAAGGTTCTTAAAAAAACAAAAAAAAACAAAAAAACAAACCTAGACAAGGAGAGAACAGTGACATCCCAGGAGCTGTTGGCAGCTATCTTACACCAATGAGAAATGGGAATTAGCACTGAAGAGGCAAAGTACAAAAATGGAAAGAACCGAGTGCTAGTCATATCATAGAGCCCTGAGTCAAGTTATGCTTCATGGCTATGGTAAATTTCTTTTACTGTAAACAGCTTCAGTTATGTAATCTATATGTGTCTTGAAACCAAGAATCAGAACACATGTATTTAAAAAGGAATAGAAGTGTCATCTAGGAGAATACATTTTCATGAAACCCACCCTTTCAACATAACAAGCACATTCAGTATCAACGTAATTCCCCCAAATGATGGAAAATATCCAATAGTATTTACACACAGAGTTGTAACAAAACAACTCTTTCTCGAGCAAGTCTAGATGTAAATATTTTGTAAATAAAATGAGAATTTAGCCTATCATTCCATAGTGCGGTTAAATGCCCCCACTTTCACATCATTTGTTTTACTGTAAGCGCAGAGAATCTGAGAAAAAAATGAATATACATTAGAATAAGCTAAGGCTAAAGCCCTGCAGAGATTTTTTTTTTTTTTTTTTTTTAAATAAGAGGCACAAGGAAAGAAAGTTACTGGATGTCAAATGTCACACTCTGAAGATCAAATGAGAAGTGAAGAAGGCAGTAACTTTTTTTTTCATTTTTATTTTTAATTTGTATTATTTCTGACTTTGATTCTATCTATGGGTACAGGGATTGCTGGGCATGGTGGCTCACGCCTACAGCCCCAGCACTCTGAGGCTGAGACAGGAGGATCACAAGCTGGAGCTCAACCTAAGCCATTGAGTTACTTGGCAAGATCCTCTTTCAAAATAAAAAATGTCAAAAGGGGTGAGGATGTAGCGAAGTTTTAAGGCCCTGGATTCACTCTCCAGTATTGAAAAAAAAATTTAGGAAGTGGTAACATGCAAATAGTTCAAAAGAACACTCTCGGCAGCACTCTCGGCCGGACTTCCAGAGGCCCTGACTAATCAGAACAACTGCTCAGTAAGTTGTAAATGTGGCACACAGAGGTGGGTACTCTTCACCCGGTTTCCCCCAGGCTTACGTCTTGGGGACTTCCGCTACAAAGTGAAAAGCAGTAGTTTGATATAGGAACAATGTATGCATCATTCTATGACATCACATATAAATTTATGTAAACATCGCAACCAAGATACAAATCTTTTATTTTACTACAAAAATCTCCTTTGCTCAATCCCTGTACAGTGACTTCCACACTCTCATTCACACCAAATTGTGTGTAGCAGTTACTCTTCCTGGAGAGATGGCTCTTTTCACTTTCTATTTAAATCTCGTCCAGTCCATTTCTGTAAAATGCTGTCCCCATCCTTTGATGTCACAGTCTTCCAGTGGACCCTGATCCTCAGTTTCAAAAGTAATGCAGCAGTCTGAAACTTCCAAACTCATTTCCTCTGAAATATGGTAGAGGGATGGGGCTGGCTTGTAAATCACCTTTTCTACCTAATTCCTCATTTTTGATGATTTCAAATTTCATCCCGTCTTTCCATGGCTTTCGCTAAATTCTCTCCTTAGATCGCCAGATTTTTAAACTCTTAGAACATGAAGTCTTCAGATCCTGATTTAAGATTCCAAAAAGGGAAACATTGGTACAATAAGAATCCAATTTATTGAGATTTCTAATGGACCAATGGGATTGTTGTAATCATGAGCAAAGCAAAACGTGATTACAGGGTTCCACGGTAGATGAGGGTAGTAGAAAAAGGGTTCTGATGATGGCTAGGTAACTCTTCTGTACCACTGAAGGCTCTACTTGTGCCCTCAAGGGTCAAGTCTTGCTCTCAATTCTTCCTACTGAAGAAAACAATCACACTTATAAAACTCAGAGGTAGCTGGGGCTGCGGGTGGGAGTGTTGTTAATTTAATTCTAACACCGGAAATTACTTCTTGGGCCTACGCTAATATTCTCAATTCAGTTTTTTGGAGGCATGGGGTAGCTTTCATTTTTTCAGACAGGTAATACAATTTTAGCTTGGATTCTGCAAAAACTGAGCAACATGAAGACAACTTTTTGTTTTCAGTGTGCGATTTTATTTTGGCTTTCAAGGTAGGATGGGCCAGAGTCCAACCACAAGGCTGTGCTTGCAACTTCATTCCTAAAACATGAGATAAAATATGAAATATTATATCTTCCAACCTGTTAATGGTATGATATTCAGAGTTCTTGTTCTCTAGCAATCAAAGAATGAGTCCTAGGAACAACTGAGGTTAAGGATAGGAAGATATTTATGGCTAGTAAAACTCTGGAGGGGGAGGAGCATAGCCGCCCTTTGAGTGGGTAGCCCGGGACCCCACTTTACAGAGTTTTATAGGATGAAACCCACGTGGGTACACTATGGGCCACAGCCATGAACGTGAAATTAAGTTACAAGTCTAGTCATTTAGGTAACAGTGGTCCAGCTGGCCAACAAGTCACGTAACAAGCGTGGATGGAAAGAACAAAGATTCTCCTAGGAAGCGGTGGGTCCAGAGGTCTCTGGTCACCCACCCGGGTGGCTGGTGTCTATTTAGACTTCATTAGGCTCAGTGTTTGTTCTTTGAGGAAGCACAGTCTGTTTATCCAGTCTTTATTTCAAGGCCTGGGTTTCAGCCCGGTGCAGCTGTGGTGTTTCACCTTCGCCTGACCCTCTGGAGGATCTAGCCCTGTCTGACTACCTATAATTTTTCTACCTGGCTCATCTGTCTATACTAATATTACCTGTGAACACTCAGCCTTTTCTGAACAGGCCCAAGGTGGTAAGACGCCCTTTGTGGGATTTGAACAGTTATGGCGATTATGATATAGTCTAGTATGACATACAAAAAGAATGTCCACCTTCATCTCAGAAAAAAATAGAATCTCTTAAATCAGTAGAGTTGGGGAGACGGAAAACTCTGAGGCCTATCTCATCAGCGGCCTTAATTCATTTTTGCCAAAGACTGAATTTTTAAATGTTTTTGCATGAACTTCATGTTTCCTAGATTCAAGAAGAAATTTTTAAAAAGCACATTTCATTATGCTCCACCGTTATGAGCGTTCCCAAAGTGGATCATTGGACGATGAAGAGTTAAAAGTCGATTTTAAAGCGTTGTGGCACACATTCGTTATCCCAGAAGATGGGGGGCTGAGGCAGGAGGGTCTCAAACTGCGGCCAGAACAGGGCAATTTACTGACTTAGTGACGCACCGTCTCAAAGATCGAGGGAAACAAAGGCTGGATACGTAGCTCAGTGCGGAGGCCAGAGGTACCAAACACTAATTTGGAAAATTTTTATTTCTGCAGAAGGGCCTGTGCAGCGGAGGCCGCGGGCTCGCGCCCCAGGTCCCACCCTCGGCCAAGGCCGAGCTCCGAGGGCGCAGAGCCAC